GGAGTGCCAGGAGTGCCAGGGTACTGCCGGGAGCCCGGCTGCCAACCTGACCCAGCCGGGCATCGGCTCTGCCAGCGCCGTGAGCCCCCGGCTGCCAGGGGGTGCAAGCACGGGGAGTTTGTGTTTACCCACAGGACCTTCAGCTTGTGTTCTTGATGCCCAAATCTGCTTTTTGGGGGTTTAGTTTTGGGTCTTTTTTATGGTTTTTTTTAAAAAAAAAATTTGATTTTTTAATGTTTTGGTCACTTGGAGTTCCTCGTGCTGAACCCCAGCATCCCTTGTGGCATGGGAATATCTCCAGGAGCCACCTGCCCTAAAATTGTGGGATTTGGGGAATTATTTCCCAGAGGGAATTTGGCTTCACTGCTGCTCTGTATTATATGGACAAAAAAATGAGGAGTTTGTGTTTAGTTACAGGACCTTTATCTTGTGTTCTTGATGCTTTTTTGGCATTGGTTTTGGGGTCTTTTTTATGGTTTTTTAAAATAATTTAGTTTTTTAATGTTTTTCATCACTTGGCATTCCCTGTGCTGAGCCCCACCATCCCGTGTTTTATGGGAATATTTCCAGAAGCCCTTTTGTTTCCGTTCCTTTAAAACAGCAATTTTTTTTCATGTGAGGATCCTTTTGAAGTCAATTCTTCATTAATATTTTAATTATTAATTGATCTTTTTAAAGTAATTTCACTGATAATGATGAAGAGGTTTTGTTTTTTGGGTTTTTTGTTAATTATCAGTGACAGTTGCAAGTCTGTTGATTCCTAGAATAGAAATGAGGAGTTGTATCCAAAAATACAAATATATTTCCTGTGCTGGGCAGGATTCCCTTTCCCACTTCTCCTGGGTTGGGAGGAGGAAATGACCGAGCAGGTGAGCTGGGGAAGGAAAAGAGAATTTAACCATTTAAAGGATTTCAACATTTGGGGACTTTCAGCATCCTTGGAAGAGTTTTTTTGAGCTGCAAAATTTGAGGGATGGGTTTAGAAATCAGGATTTCAACCACAGTGGATCTCCACATTTTTTTTTCCCCATAATTAGCAGAGTAAATGATAAAAATCCAAAGTGGTGAGTCTGAAACTGAGTCAAAACCATCCCAAATTCAGGATGTGCTCACTGGTTTCAGCCCAGCTTCTCCCTGCAGTGACCCCACGCTTCACCCATTGCCCCGCTCAGCTTTTCCTCTTTCCAAACCCATTTCCCAACCCTCCCTTGGGGAGAAATCCTCCCTGGAGCCTCCTGTGCCCTGCTCAGTGCCCGGGGCGGTGCCCAGGGGCCGCGGGCAGGGCGGCACCGGCCGGGCGCCAGCGCCTGGGGCCAGGAGGAGCCAGGGCTGGGCTGGGCACCTGGGCACCTAGCTGGGCACCTGGGCACCTAGCTGGGCACCTGGGCACCTGCCTGGTCACCTGCCCGAGCACCTGGGCACCTAGCTGGGCACCTGGGCACCTAGCTGGGCACCTGGGCACCTGCCTGGGCACCTGGGCACCTACCTGGGCACCTGCCTGGTCACCTGCCCAAGCACCTGAGCACCTGCCTGGGCACTTGGGCACCTGCCTGGGCACCTACCTGGTCACCTGGGCACCTAGCTGGGCACCTGGGCACCTAGCTGGGCACCTGCCCGGTCACCTGCCCAAGCACCTGAGCACCTGCCTGGGCACCTGGGCACCTACCTGGGCACCTTCCTGGGCACCTGGGCACCTGCCTGGGCACCTGCCTGGGCACCTGGGCACCTGCCCGAGCACCTGAGCACCTACCTGGGCACCTGGGCACCTGCCCGGTCACCTGCCCAAGCACCTGGGCACCTACCTGGGCACCTGGGCACCTACCTGGGCACCTGCCCGGTCACCTGCCCAAGCACCTGAGCACCTGCCTGGGCACCTACCTGGGCACCTGCCTGGGCACCTGGGCACCTACCTGGGCACCTGCCCGAGCACCTGGGCACCTGCCTGGGCACCTGGGCACCTACCTGGGCACCTGCCCGGTCACCTGCCTGGGCACCTGGGCACCTGCCGGGCACCTGCCCGGCCTCAGCCCCTTCTCCTGCTGCCTCCTGGCATCCTGGCCCTCCTGGCTCGCTGGCAGCCTGCCCGGAGCCCTGAGCTCTGCGGGCACCTCCCGTGGGCTGCTCCTCCCTGGCAGCTCTGGGGAGCAGCTGACGCCGGCCCGGCCTCAGACCCTTCCCTCGCGTCCTGCGGGGCAGAAAGGAGGGCACGTTTCCAAAGGCCCGGGTTTTGGGTTTGAGCTGAACCAAATGATGATGTTTGGGTTGTGTGTCCTCACCCCGTGCTGGGCCGTGGCTCCTGGGAGCGCGGTGGACATTTCCTGCCCTGCTGTGCCATTAAAAACGGGGCTCTTCCTGCTTAACCAGTTCTGCTTTTTCCATTCCAGAGCTGTTTGCTTTTGCGGTACCTCAAGTGCCCTCTGATAAAGGCCGATTCCAGGGTTTGTTATCTCATTCCCTGAATCTGAGCCCACACAAAGAAAACAGAACCTGCTTTTCCTGGGCTGGGCCACGTGCAGGGCCTGTGGTGCCTGCCACTGCTGAGGCTGCTCTGCCTCTTCCAATTCCTCATCCTGGCCACCAACCCGACCAACCATGCCTGGGCCTGAGCCAGGACAAGCCACGGGACTCTTCCTCTCATCCCGATGCTCTTCAGCCTGACCAAATTAATTACAGATCACCTAACGAGCTCCCGGCCGCTCTCCTCTCCGGGTTTCGGGCGTTGCTTTGGGCACGGAGCTCAGCAGGGCCTGGCTGTGGCCCTGCTGAGGGGGGTTCTGTTCCCAGCAGGAATGACGACGCCGCCGGCCCCGTCCCAGCACCGCCAGCCCAGCGTCAGCCCCCTGTCCTTGGGCACGGACTCGCGGCGGCCTCAGGCCCAGCAAATGTCCCCCACGCTGTCCCCGCTGTCACCCATCACCCAGGTAGGAGCCCGGATATTCAACTTTTCCAATCACAGCTCCATCTGCTTCATCGGAGAGCCACAGGGATATGGAGAGGGAGTTCCTGCCTGGGGGAGTGGGAGGGAATGGAATGGAGTTCCCAGAGAAGCTGTGGCTGCTCCATCCCTGGAAGTGTCCAAGGCCAGGTCGGACTGGGTTTGGAGAAGCATGGGATTGTAGAAAGTGTCCCTGCCCATGGGACGAAATCAGCTTTAAGGTCCTTTCCAGTCCAAACCATTCCATGATTCCATGAACTTCATCTCTTGTTCTATAATTTCCTGTTTTAAAGGCGTTACTTAATTCAGAGCCTTAAAACAGGAGAGGTCTGTAGAAGGGACAGATTTTACTTCCTCTTTTCTAGAGCTGTGATAAAAACCATCTCTTAGACCACATTTTTTTGTGTTGTCCCAAAGTGAGCTGTGAAATTTGAAAGCCGTTTCTCTCAATTAGCGAGAGAAACTCAATTAACTTTTAAAATTGATTTCATGGTGGCTCTGTGACTGCCCAGGTTGGTGATTTCTGACCTTGAGATTCAACTGGGCTTTTAAAATATTGTTTTATACAGGATGGTTTGGCTTGGAGGGAACTTAAACCTCATCCAATCCCCTCTGCCAGGGGAGCAGCTTCTTGACTCTCTAAACCTTTAGATGCCATTTTTACAACACAAACCGAGCCTGACTCCATTTTCTTGGTGTGAAGAGGAGTCCCCTGCCAGCGTGGCTGATCCTGCTCCTTCTTTTGCAGGCCGTGGCCATGGATGCATTGTCCCTGGAGCAGCAGCTCCCCCCGTACCCCTTTTTCACCCAGACCAGCTCCCAGCAGCAGCAGCAGCCACCAGTGGCCAGTTCCCTGCCCCAGACCCCCCCTCTGCTGCAGAGCTCGGGGCTGCAGAGGGGTCCCCAGCTGCCCCCTCTGTCTGTCACGGTACCTTCCACCATCCCCCAGTCCCCTCCCGGCAGCCAGAGCCAGCCCTCCATGGGGATCGACATCAACTCGGTGAGTTTGGCAAGGGCTGTGCTTGGGGAGGGC